TTGCTAACAGCGGAGCTATCTCAGCCGATAGGCTGCTTGTTCAAACTTGGTACATACATTAGACATTGTTTTTCAAATTGGATTCAAAATGGCTAACTAGCAGCCATTTGTTTTAATAAATGTGGTTCTAGAGCCATGTCTCTGACATATGCTTTGACTGATTATGTTCAACCTTTATATACTAGTATACAATGAATTCATTATAAATCATGTCATAAATATGCAGATGTATACATGTACAAGATGACTGAATGTCAATCATTTTAATGTTAAAAAATCATCATAATCAAGCATCAACTTCAGGATCCATATCACTGACGTGTATATCTTTCAACTATATTGCTATAAACAAAACTATATATCTTAAATTTGAGAATTAACAAGGACTATGCCATGCATGGCTTGTTTTAGTTCAGTTGTAGAACAAAAAGCAATATCAAAACCCTTTCTTTGTCATTAATGCTGCTTGTGTCTGGGCTTCCACTAACCATTCACCAAGTCAGTAATGCTGCAAGTCTCTGGGCTTCCAGTAACAATTTTCCAATGTCAAATTACATTTAGGCAACCACAATTGTGTCATTTTTACCACCAAATGTAATGTAAATGTAGTAAATGAATTATTCACTATTTAAATGACAGAGAGTAAACTCAAAAAACACATTACTCATCAATATGTATGTACAGAAAATGTATTAGCATATTTCATTTTGCTAAAAGAATTCAAACATTTGTGTAATTTTTCATAATGGTAAATTGTCCTTGTTGGCGAAGTTACTAAATCTTTTGGTATTAGTGGAAGGTCTGCTGTCTTATGCCACACACTTATCTCCTGAATTGCATTCACCTTTCTAGTTATTCTTAATTGTATACTTGTTGTGATTATTGAATGGAAGTATGTTTCATATTTACTAGTAAGAATAAGGCATAATAATCCTTATGAACTGGATACGCGGCCCAAGGTCGTGCAGCAGTAGCTTATGAGGGCACATAAGCCATATATATGACCAAAGGCAGCAAAAGCTTTATTCAGTTCATAAAGGTTTTATCATATACATGTACATGTACCTTATAGGTGTAATTACATGTACAATTTTTATCAAATGATATGTCTTGCCGAGCCAGGCATGATATTGGGAATTAGTGCTTGATGTGAGGGCACGCTTTCCACAAGGCCGTGTAATACAAGGTATATGACAACAAGAAGATGAGCTGTATCAATGCTATTGTTGAAATATTTGTGTGGAACTATGATTACCATACTTATTCTAGATAGCATATATTTTGCAATTAAACCCAATACATCATGCATTTAATTGTTAAGTACCATATTTTTCAGGATTCTGCTCTTGAACTAATAAAGGAGAGTTTGTTTGATGAATTATCATCATTACTATCACCCACCGAGTATGAACCATTGAAGCCACTCATTTTATTGCTAGGTTGGAGTTATTGTTATAGCTGTATCACGGCATCTAAACTACTTGAAGCATTGTGGACTCACAAGGTACATGTTGTTTAATATGCTTTCTCCTTTCACCTCTTGGGCTGAGCCCTCAGAATGACCTATGCCTATTGGCTCGATCTTTGTATATGAAATTGACATTAAGATTACCAAAGGTTACACAGTATGATTTAATCAGACATTAACTTATCACTTGTTATGGCCAATTCTCATGTACATTAATTTTGTAATCCTAATAATCTTAATTAAAGTTGTACTTCAGGATCTCCCTGTATTTGTGTGCATAGCGTTGATATATGAATTAAAAGTATCAGTAATAACCAATATGACAAATTGGTATGCCAGTTTTATTGCATGTGACAATTTGTTGCACATTTAATATATTGTACTGTTTTTCAGGATGTCAAAACGCAACCTGTATTGGAACAAGCATGTAACAGACTTGCATATCAAGTACATCTTGTACAGTGGTGTATACAAAGGGCACAGTATGTACATGTTACTTTTATAAGAATTCTATTCTTTCTAGTCAATGCCATACATGTATCATAGATTTTTTTCTATACACTGAGGTCAATGAAGCCATTGGTACATGTATGTTATAATTCATTTAAAAATTTAAATATTTATAAGCTCAAATGACAGTAACATAATTATGAGCTTATGCAGTGACTTCCCGTATTCAACAGAGGAATTAATAAAACTGTAGATGGTGGTAAGCTAGGATACTGTCCACAAAACGTATATCATCATTGCCTGTCTTATTCTCATGCTAGAGGTTTGCAGAATAGAGGAAAGTTCCTGCCTTGCCCATCCACTTGCATGTTTTAAAATTATATTTAGTGTATTTTTAAGTATAAATATACATGTAAATTTCTCCAGTGAAACAACCTGAAATGTTATTCTCTTCACATACTAGTATTGTATATTATTATACATTTGTCATCGTAACGCCATAAGTTACAGCATGCTGTAATTTTGCGGTATTTTAAGGGTTATTTTCATCATACCATATCAGGAAATGTGATTTCCAAATATGGAATGATTATGCGCGTAAGCATTCTCTAATAGTAAAAACAAACATGGCTGCCACCAGAGTTTGACCGGACTCCACACAAAGAAGTTCGCTGATGCTGTTCTGAACATTTTGGATTTCGGCATTCCCATGGTATATCCTTGGAAGAAAGATGTATAATAATAAGGTTATTACGAGTATACCTCAATGTATGCACTCAGACAGTGTTTTTTGTCTCTGTAGGCCATTTCTTGATAGAAGTGAGACTGACATATCCAGTACAGAAGAGCTGCAAAGAGCCAGTGAAATGTTTCATGGTTTGGAGTCCCACTCAGTACTATATGTGTTACATCAGTCAATGCATCTAGCAAGTATTGAGGAAAAGATAATATTAGATATATTAAGTGAAAGACCAGTCTTACCTACTGTACAAGGTGAGAATTAGGAAAATGTTGACTATTTATTATATGTTTAAAAACACAAAGTACCGGTAAATGGCTTATTTAAGTATACTTAGTCTGATTGCATGGCTGAAGCATGGTTTTATATCTGGCACTGAAAGACCTGTAATTCTGTATAGAACTGAATAAACTGGCTCAAATATCTTACTGAATCAAAACTGGGAGCACTGTTCATAGTGATTATATCCGATCACACACTTTAAAAGTTGTTTGTGTGTCTTACTTTACCACAGGTGATATGAACATATTTGATCTATGTCAGTTGTGTTCAGTCAACGCTTAGTTGATCATACCATACATGTATGTATATATTTCATAATTTCAGGATCATCTACTAGAGGTTTGTGGACTGACAAGAAATCAGTAAGATTTGCTGCCCAGGATGATGACCATCAACTAAGTATAGAACAAGAAAGAGACACTATGGTGTACAGGAGTTACTGTGCCCTCAAATCATTCATGGATATCATTCAATACTGTAAACAAAACACGGACAAATTTGACCTGTTACAAGCTCAGACATGTGAAACTGATACCACAAATGATTGCCAGTGTTACATTACGAAAAAGTTAGAAATTGCCAAAAATCACCTTACAGAAATATATCCACTTGTTTATAGGATAGAAACCTTAGAGAATATTTTTTCATTACTTTTTTCTCGGCACAGTGATGTATTTAATGATTCTGTGTTGAATGACAGTGGTAGTGAGCACGAGGAAGGACTTGTAGATGAGGAGATGAGAAGATCTACTAGTATTGATAGTCCTACGACTCCTGTTTTAGAGCGTTCCATTGAAATAAGCTTTGAATTAGCAACACCTGATAATGCTAGAAATACAACATGGAAACAAGATACTTCACATACTGATAAGTCTGCACACTGTCATATAACTGTTGAAGATCAAAACCGAATTGACTTGAAGTCACCAGAGGTCTTTGCTGATTTGAGAGGTGACAAATTACCATTACACTCATACATGTCGGAGTCAACCAAATCATCCAAATCCCCAAATACCAGTAGTACTAGTCTAATTACAGAAAACAGGGCAGGGTTTTTAATTTCAGGAAATGTGGTTGGAGATATCCTCAAAGTGCTCAAGGAATGTATGATTGATTTAAGTACAGCTAAATACATTCTGGGACAGTCTTCCACAGAGAGGGAAACTAAATCTTCTGCAACGAGCAAGTGCTTGTCTCAGTATATCCGGTGCTCAGTGCCCACAAACACATTGCAGCAACGAAGCTCTAGACTCAATCAGTATATCAATGAAGCACAGTGGAGATATCAGTTGGTCACACAGAGTCAGAAAGTATTACCAACATTGAATGATAATTATGATAGCTACTCTGGAGATGATGATGATGATGATGATATTACTTACTACGCACAGGGAGATGAACAAATTTCAAGGAGAAAGAGAAAATTATGTTCAGATAGGAGAATGAGATCATCGTCAGGTATGTCTTGTACAGATGATTAACATATTCCTGTAATTTGTGTTTCCTGTACACAATTATGTGGTGATACCTTTTCTGTTAAGACATAATATAAACCACTGAATATTAATTTTCGTAATTTGATAATTAAATAACTTTATGAGGACAATTTCAATCATTAACAATTTCTACAAAATGTCATGGTTTCCCTGACTAGCAAAATCTATTACAGTGGTGTACAGTAGAGTAATGTATTTTGTGAATGACATGGAGAATTTTCTGTTCTTATTTGTTAAAAAGAAAATGGGTGTAGCTTCTTTAAGCATTCGGCATGTGTAGTTTCAATCTTTGTTAATATATAATCTCTTACATGGATTTCAGTAATGGAAAACTATTCCGGAGTCGAGAGTGGTTCATACACAACTGGATCACAAAAAAGTCTGGAACCCTCACAATCTGGTAATCATGCACTAACTCCATTCATAACTCATGTTGATTTTCATATGTTCATCTTCTTTCTCATCAATATTGGTCTTCTGTCCTTTGGGTAAACGTTATATCTATAAATTGTTGATGTTCAGGTGTGCCAAAGTGTAGCAAAGGAAATTGACGAATCCAAGATATACAAATTTTGCACAGAGTTTGGGGGAAGAATAATGTTTGTTTTTATCATAATTTTTCCTTTTCCCAACGCTGTAAACTGTTTCTCAATTTCACAGACCTTGGGTCATTTACGTTTTATTTTACCCTGTATTTATCATCATAGATGAAGGTGAAGATATATGAAAGGAAAATGTCTTCCCTCGTTGACTTGTATTGTACTATTTAAAGCAATGTAAAGTCTTTGTTAGTCATCTTACAACAACAAGGACTTCACCTCAGTCCATCTATCTATCTATCCATCTATCTATCCATTCTGTTACATTCTGATTTTACACACGCTTTACATCATGCATATGCATAATGCATTTTTTTTTATGATCCTATTCTAGCTGAATGGTGGTCATTTTATTTGTTAATGAATGCTATGCCATATTTCTAACCTGACTTTCCAAGTCACATTTAAACTTTACATATACAGTTGTTTCATGATTCAATTCAGAATGGCCAAATATTCATCAAAATACAGCATTCCAGATCTCAGTCATACATGGACATATTTCATTCAAAAGTCAAGCTCATTGAACTTAGATTGGGTCCTTGATGCACATTTTGTTTACCAGATCAGATACAAAAACTGTGTTTTAACTAATACTGTTCCATAGCAATATCTTTGCATGCCACAAATACACAATAAAAACAAACAAATAAACTGTGTGACTCCAATTTGCATCATGACTGTCATACAAGTGTAAGTCATAATAGATAATAAAAACATAATGTCTTATATCGATCATCATAATGTCTTGTACCACTGTAAAACACTGTACAAATGTAATCTACCATCATACTAACCACACCAACTTCAATTGACGCATTATTTTCCTCTATGTGAAATTGTTCCCTCGCACATAATCTATAATCCCAGTTCTTTGGGATGTCAGCTGTTTAGCTCATAAGAGATATTTTTGAAAAAGGAATGTGCCACTTTCTATGACCTATTACATTTTAATCCTGAACAAATTAAATATTTTATCATTTAGATACAAGTGTTGGAAGTAGAGATAAAAGACGAAAGAAGAAGCGGAGATTGAGAAAAAGAAGTAATACTAGTTTTCTTACTAAAAAGAATAATGGTATAATATCAAAAATGTTAGCGTCTCCTATTACATTACTTAGAATTTGTCTAAGGAAATCTAACTATACGCAAGCTAACCAGGTAAATGTACACTGTACACTCATGGATTACCGATGGCTGTGGTTTAGGGTTAATTTGTAAATATTTAAATAACGTTTAAAAACTCAAAGTGGCAATTGTAAACTATTTGACCAATCACAGCAACTGTGATTTGGACATCACTAGTGTGGATGAATATTATAATTTCGAAATACACTGTTTAATATCCTTAGCATTGTACAATCAGCAATCAGTCTTACACAAAGAGAGTGGTACAAAAGAGTACCCTGATAACAAATCTCAGCCTCTTGTTTCTGGATTTAATCTACATTTATAAATATTTACAAAAATTTATATTTAACAGCATCATTATTTAATTAAAAATCAGTATATGCGCTGTATCTGCTCATATCCAGGAAATGTTTAAAATTAAGTAAAGTGCATTTATAACTTTTCAAAACTCTCATCAAGTACAGGAATTTGAAAAAGTTAAAACAAGCAG